TATTTTATTAATATTGTGGTTTTCATTAATGTTGCCACCCGATTTGCTGTGTTATCTCGGGGCCCGATTTAAATATGGTGTAGGAAAATTAGGCCCGAATTAGCTATATGTGACCCTACTTAAGGTCTTAATGATGAGGGTGACGTCACCTCCAGACGACCTTACCACCCACAACTCAATTTTACTGATTGAGGAAGAGATAAACACTAAACGTATGCTTACTGTAGCGCGATTGCCGAGTAAAAGAGTGCTATGATTCTCCTATGGCGGTTAGACTACGCTTAATCATAGATTGGAAGTGTCCTTGCAAATGAGTTTGGGCAGATCACTTACGCCGTCCAAAGACGGCAATTCTGGCACTTCCTCTTTAATTCGAAGTGCCCATCGACATATCCGGCCCGAGATAGCAATCTTACCTTACCCCTACTTTCTATTTCGACGGCGTTAGCAAATCGGATCCGGATCTCGGATCATTCGCTTTGCCAAAATGGATGAGAACCACAATACTTGTTCTCAAATAAAATAGTCCATCTCAGAACGACATCAAGTCAAGAATAAGGCTTCTATCACATATTAATAAAATAGAAAAACAATTATCATCACCTGAGGCATTAAGGAAGTCGCTGTCTTGTTGAAATAGGGAGAAACCCCATGAGGCGAAAGTTATCTTTTGTTTCAGTGTTTGGCCCATTCCTGGTAGCCATGCTGGCTACTGCGCTACGCCCTGATCCCTCTTTGCTGGCTACCGACGACGATAATGGCGGTCTTCGCTGCGGCGGTCTCTGCGGTGACGGCGCCTGCTGTCTGGGGATTGATCGAGCGATCGGTCTCTTGATCGGTTTCTTCTTCTCGAACCCGCAGCCGAGCGTTGCGTTATCTGGTTGCGTGAGTCGATAGTCATGTAGTCCTATGTGGCAGCAACATAACAGCAATCAGTATTGTTCCAGAGAGCTGATGGGTCACTCGACTTGCGTCAGCAGAAGGCTCGTTGCCGGCACGGAATTGATCCTACAGCATTCACGAGTGTTTCGACAGATTAGTTGAAATACGCAAACAAACTAACGAAGAACTTACATCGATGTGCTTCTTAAATTTGAGCTTCGCCGTCATCCAGGAGTTGTCCTCGTTTGTATCATCATCATTGTCGTCGTCGTCTTCAAGAACTTGACCGTGATAGCTCTCACTGTCCTTCGTGGTTTCGCCCTCTTCATTCCTTGCTTCTCCAGATGAATTGGTCTTCGTCGTATTCACGTCAACAAGTGCCGCCTGGAACTTCTTCAGCTTGGACAGCGTGTCTTGCTCTCTTGCTGAACGGTTTGTGGCTTTCTTTCGCTGCAAATACTTCTGACGTTGCTGTTGTAGTGGAGTAAGCATATCCTGGAATGCACGATCTTTTTCCAGCTTCTTGGCTTCTTCACCCATAAGCAGCGGAACCGCTTTCTTTGATTTCTGTAGCTCCTCGCGTAGCTTAGCATACTCCTCTCGGTCTTTTTTTTTGCTCCGTGAGCCTGCATTAAGCTTCTCAGTCTTCGTGGGGGGTTGGTCGTCGATATCGTCACTCTGCTCCGTTAAGTAGTCAGCATACTTGACACCTTTGCTCGACTTCGAGGCAGCAGCTACGGCTGCTTTCAGGCTTGCTCTCGATCTCTCTTTTCTCTCCTCACTCACTGCCTCGCCACTGGTTTCATTGACCCTCTGCAGGACCTCTGAGTCCACTTCCGCCTTCAACTTTCGGTCGTCGAGTAGATCATGACTACTTATCATCGTTTCGCCTTCTTCTTTTGGACTTCTGACTCCACCATCGATCTGTCTGGAAGCTCCACTGGTTTCGCAAGAAAGCAGCTCCAATCTCTTTTCCCCTTGCTCCGCCTTTTTTTTTTTTGGGGACTCTCTCCTCTCCGGGGGGATTTCCCCTCTCTCCCCCAACACCCCCCGGGGCTGTATGGAAAAAAAACCCCCCGCCCGGGGGCGGGATTTTTGCGGGACCCTCTCTTTTAGAGGGCCAAAAACCCCCCTCTTTTCCCCCCCAGGCCTCTTTTTTCCCGCGGGGGTGAGAGTTTTTTTGGAGAGGGGTTTCCCAAACCCTTTAAGGGTTTCCCCACAGCACTTCAGCACTCAACAGCTTCGGTGGATTGGTAGGACGTTCCTGTCCATCCGTCTCCAAGTCTCCGACACTTAAAAGATTAAAAATCGTGTTACCTGTAACCTACACGAGTATGAGTAAGTTATATGTAACCAACAGTGTAATCTACCAGCACATTCTCAATTGAGAGTACCTTGCCAAAGATGGTGTGTTTCTTGTTCAGAAAGTCACAGGCGTCCAGGGTGAAGAAAAACTGCGAGTGGTTGGAGTTGGGTTTGTTCTCGTTGGCCATAGCCAGAAGTCCGCGATGGTTAAATTTCAGTCTGGAATGGAACTCATCAATGAAAGCGCCACTGTAGATGCTCTCTCCTCCTGTACCCGTCCCTGTGGGGTCTCCGCCCTGCACCATGAAGCCGGCTATGATGCGGTGGAAAATCGTCTGGTCATAGTACTGTCATATATAACATATCATGTTAATGGTCCATTTAAACCAAAATCCTATTTTGTCATACCAGACATTGGAATTGCTTTGGGAAGACGTACCCCTTCCAGACACAGCTGCACGAAGTTGCGGCACGCCTTGGGTGCCTGTTGCGGCCACAGCTCCACATCTAGATCCCCGAAGCTCGTGTGCAGCAGCACTTTCCCCTCCGTGTTGGGCTCCGTGATGTAGATATTCGACATGCCGACGTCAGCTCGGGTATTATCAAAACTTGCTACGATGAACACCACTTTTACATAATGTACCCACTTTTCTCTGAAAAAGCATTTTTTGTATTGTTTCAGTAAATTTCAGTGAAGCCGACAGAAAGACGTCTTACAAGACGTGAAGTAGTTGTTTTGTTGTCATTTGTTCGTTGGGTTCATGTCAACCCAGTCTGCAGCTTCGGCTCGCTTCAGCTTTACACGTTCAGTCAACGTCACGCGATCAAGATACTCCTCAAATTTCACGAGCGATGTTTTCCTGGATGACAAATCGTATTTTTCCTTTCGGAACCGTGCACGTTGCTCTTGAAATATTCGTAAGGCCTCCCGCTCTTCTTGTACACGACGTAGTTCATCGCCGTCGAGAAGATTGTCTCCGTGTTCTTTGCGTTTGCGTTTCGTCCATTCCTCGTAAAAGTCATCTAAAAGCGAGTAATACATTGTGATGTTTTCCAGCTCACATTGCTGAAGATACGAGCGTTCTCGTCCTGTGCGTCGTTTCTCGTTGATCACTTTGCGGCGTCGGAGTTTATCGAGTTGTGTGGGTAGCACTGCCGCGAGAAACGGCATCTTCTCAAAGCTTTTACCGCTCGTTGTAAACGGCAGATGGCGGTCCAAGCTTTTGTCTTGATGCTGCTGCTCTGAGATGTCACGGAGGTCTTCATGGCGATGTCTTGAGCGTGTTTCATTCTGCATGAATTCTCCTTCGTACCAAAAATCCCACTTTTCCTTGTTCACTCCAGTATCGCCAGTCGGTTCATCGTCAGCAAACTTGTCATAAAGACGGTAGTAGAAGTCTCCTCGACCATCCATTGTATCTTCATGCCAAAACCCTACGTGCTTAGATCGCCCACCTTCAAACCGAGTTGTACCACGTCCGTGCCGAGCACCACCATCAAAGAAACCTTCATACTTGTCTCCATGACGATCACGCTGTCGGCCACGTCCATGAGGTTGACCTTCGACAAATGTCCCTTCAACGAACGAACCGTCTGGAAATGTTCGCGTGCACGCTGGGCCGTGAAGAACTCCATTTACAAACAGGCCTTCATCGATCATTCCGGTAGAGCTGACGTATCGTCCTGGCCCGGAAATGACACCGTCTTTCATTTCGCCGTCGTAGGTAGCGCCGTCAGGAAATTTTACGTGCATCTCACCGCTTTCCGCTCCATCGCGATAATCATCTCCATTCAGTAGCGAATTTCCGTATGCGCGACCTCGTAACTTGTCGCTGTATACGTAGCGACGTTGTGGACGATCAAAAGTGCCTTCACAAGTTGTTCCCTTACCATACACAAGCTTACCGTTTCCACAGCTGGTGTTGCCACTGAAGTGGCCAGTATACACGCCAGCATTCGTGTACTCCTGGCCTTGGCCGTGTTTCTGACCAAGTCGAAACGCCCCGGAATAGACACCTCCGATAGAAGAAAAGTGAAAGTGCTTGTCAATCGGATCTAACGGTACTTTATCTTCATCAGCAGCCAATGCTGCAGCCGTAGGCACCATCAACTCACCCTCTCCGTGACGTATTCGACGAAGTTTCACTGCTCGCATGTTGATTTCCTTTAAGAGGTCATCAGGGTCGATCGTTTGGTTTGATAGTTGGTCGTCTTCGAAGAATGCCCGGGGTTGAGGTCGTGTCTGGACGAGGCAAACGTAGTTCCAGTCGTTTTTATTCAGTGCGAGGGACGCAAGGTCTCGTCCGCGTGGACTCGTAAAAGTTGCCGCCCAAGTTTTCGTCTCTACTTCGTTTTTGATACTAGTCGATGGCAACTCAGCATCTCGTGGAACTTCAGAAAATGTTACGGGTTCCGTCACAATTAGCTTCGTCATGCGCTTACGCCGACGCTCTAACTCCTTGATTTCATTCGTGAGTTCTGTAGCTTGGTCATTCATAGCATTTGCCAGGTTTTTGCGGGTTTCTATCTGTTCTTGCTGACTTCCAGCAATGTCCATGACCGGCAGTGCCTTGATTTTCTCCTTCAGCACTTTCAGCTTCTGCTGTGAAGTTGCCACTAGTGGCTTTAGTCGAAGCAACGGCTGAAACTCCTGAGTGATACCGAACAACAGCCACGTTCTAATATCTATCGATTCACACTGAGCTGGCACGAAAGCAAGGACCAGGAGGGCACCACCAGTGTACAGCGGGTCATGGAGATCATCTTGCGGTATTGGCTCCACGGGTTCGTGGATGATGTAGTACCATCGGTCGGTCCCGTTGGGTGGAAGTACCTGTGTCATCCAGTCCTTCGGCCATATCACGTCTACACAGGCGAATGGCTTAATTAATAGTTTTAGAGTGATAAGAAGCATGGGGAGGCATACTTCCGAACGGGTCCTTGAGAAGCGCTGCATTGCATTCAAAAAGCAGGTTGATCTTGGCCCTGGTGACAAAAACACACCAAATCTCTCAGCCCAAGGACGAGAGAGACTTCAAATCGATCATTTGATACACGCACACAGTGAATTCGGATCGTTGAACAAAGCGGAATTTATAGTCCTCAGGCCTCGTGGTGATATTCTGGTCAAACAGCGCCACAGCCATTAGATCCTCCTTGTACTCGTCCACCATTTTGCCCGTGCGCGGGTCAACGATGAGCTGTCTCGTTCGCGTTGCCATTGTTCTTAGATATGTCTCCTTGCACCGCCCGCTGACACGAATGTTTCATATCTTTGGTCTAAGTTTATAGTGGTAACTTTGTCGAAACGCGTCATAGGATAAGGAGCGATTCTGGCGATACTGCTTTTTCACGGCATATTTGACTGCTTCGCTGTACTTCGACTTCAAGTTAGTTCTTAATATATAGCAGGCATAAGTCTCCCAGCAACAATGACTAAGCACTCGTGTCCTTTATTTTTATTGCTCGGTGAGCGTGTATATCGCTGCTTACAGTAGTTTGAGCAACTCAACTTCAACTGAGAAGAAGTGTTGCTGTTTATAGGAGCCCAACTGTTATTGCCTTGAAGAACGCCTACTTCTGCTTGCTGGTGATGTATTGCTGCACCTCGACCGGGTTGGCCTTGTATCCCTGCAGACGGAAGGACGAGTTCTGGAAGGCCCACAGGAAGCCTCCAAGCGAGCCCAGCACGCCCGTGACCACCATAGACGGAACAGCCACGTGGCGGTGCAGCTTCACTCCTGCACAGAGTCCATGAAGCGCAGACAGTTAGCGTCATTATCCACTATTTCGTGTTTTGCAGAGACCACTGCACGCACCGAACACGTAGCCAGCAGGGAAGGAGAAGGCGCTGATGCCCAGCCACCGCGTGTAGTCACCTGCGTCAAAGTTGGCCTTGACGTCGTCGAAGGTCGGGTGCTTGACGATCACGGGGAAGCGCGGCTCGCGCGGGTCGCGGACAGGGGCGTCACTCATCGTGTGGGCTGTCGATCTCGGTGTCTCTACAAGACGGGCGGTCATTATTCGCAGATTTCTGACCAATCAGAGAGATGTTGAAAGGAACGTATAAGAACGAATAACCTTTTTAATCCGCTAAAACGTCGTGCCTGTATTGATTAAGTACCAGGCAGCTTAATTTCAGAAAAAATTGTGCTCCCACCTCAACACCACTATTAGTCATGGCATGACTAATAAGAGTGAACGATGTAGTCTCAATTTTCTTAATTAAAAAAATCCAGCAGCCAATCAAATTGAATTAAATTTCGTGTCGTCGTGCTTTGCGACAATTTTCTTCTACGCAGGTATCTTTAATGATGGCGAACGTCCATCACATACCGTAAGGAATACGGAAGGTGCGTTTTTCTATTTTAAGTAGCACAAACTGAAGTACCGCGTCGGTAGTAATAGTAGTTTAACAAGCCAAAATCTAATAAAAAGCCTCAACTTGTTCAGTACCGGGCAAATTCACGACTGATCTTTCCACTAACCTTACCCTCCCTACCAACCTTTGCAGTCTTACCAGCATCGCAGTCGCGTTTTTGTCATCGCACCCATAAGCTTCAATGTATCTGACAACAGTTCCTTTATTCAGCGTTTGTGAGGTGGTCTCCACCTTTCACAGGCTGAGATTAGCCACTAACAGCCACAATAGACAAGTATCCTTTCTTTTCCTGACAGGTATTTTTGAGCTCGTTGTGTCTGCGTTACTTTGTTTCCAGAAAGTTCCCTCTGGGCTCGTTCCTCGAGAGACTCACAGCCGATGCAGCAATACCCAAGAAGACCACACGTGCCCTAGGCACGATGGCAGACCGTCTCCGAGCCCGCTTCAGAGACTCCAGCCGTACCTCCGAAAATGATATCCGCTTCACCGCCCAACTCGAGCTCTACTCTCCGTTCCATCAGATCATCCTCTCGAACAGAGCCTTAATCGAGATCGAGCCTCTCGACGGTGTCGCTGTTATGCGACTCGAAGACCGACCCGTCCTGCTGACCGAGACCGTGCTTCTCCTCCCTGCTCTGTTCGACCTCACGACAGTCATCCATGCTCCTTACGCCAGTAATTTCGTCGCGCACTCCCTCCGTCCGTGGTTCCGCCAAGAAGGCTGCCAAAGGGCAACGTCTCGTCAAACCCAAATTTGACTTCTATCTCGTCCGTGGGACGGACGAGCGCATTCAGCGCGACCTTTCGCGTACCATCAAGCTAGCCGACGAACAAGGCAAAGGTCCGTTCGTACCCGTGGCGCAGTCAGCGATTATGGTACCCTCCGCCCAAGTTTCCCAAGCTTCACCTCGCCCATCACCGTGTTTAGATGCGTTCGCGCCCGACGTATCTCGCCTGTGCTCTACATATGTCTACCAAACACGCAGGCGCTCGTCGTAAACAGAAGAGTAGCACTCAGCAGGACCGTTTCTCCTTCCTCAGTCTCAACATCGAGGAGCTCGGCTACTACGGGCTTCTCGCCGCTACTCTGGCTCGGTGGTAAAGCAGCCAAGCACTCAACGTCGGCCAAATCTCGGCAAGACGCCCCCGAAGACTTGTTTGTTCTGCTGAACCGTGACTCCAAGCGTTACGAGAGGGTTATCGCACGCACCACGAGCAAGTTTGACATTGACGAAGACTGACACACCGGCATCACCCACCTGCTCAAACACACTAAAGATCTTGACCTCACTTGCGTACCCCATCTCCGTATCTCCGACCGTGCACTGGCACGCATAGCACTCGATGTCAAGGGCGGCGACTCACCTAAGCTTCACTGATCCCTGCGGATCATGGAATGCACTTCTCTCCAACAGCTCACTCCGCATTACTCAGCTCGAAGAGCTCAAGCACCTCCGTGCTACGTGCCTTCAGGAGCTGCACGGCGCTCATTTTCATAAGCCGCGGTGAGAAGTCGGTCATTTTCGACCAATGAACAGCCGTCATTCATATTATCGGACTGATAGTTGTCATACTTGTCTTGATCATCGTCGTAGGTGTTTTGATTTTCAATTGAAAAGCCAATACCCCCTAGAACAGCTTCACGACCTTCAAATTCAGCTTGTAGATCATCCACCGAGACTTCAATGAGCGTCACTCTCGGTTTATTGCGATAGTTGTCACGGCGGCGGTAAGGTTCGCGTTCACATCGATCACGTCGGTTGTGGCGATCGTAAGCGTCATCGCGTCGGGAATCACGCTCTTATAGTGCAGGGACTCACCGTCACACTTAGTCATACGTTCCTTGCCCTTGAGAGCGTCTTCAACGATCTCTTCGAGCTCAAGAATGTCGGTGCCTCGAGTGTGGTGGAGACTCTCCGCCAACTTGTCGTCACCGCACGTTAATGTGCGTGCTCTTTTGCGTCGCGACCGCTCTTGTCGAAGTGCAGACAGGCTTTCCGAGCGTAGACGCGAAGCCTGTTTATTTAGTCGCACAGATGTTCATTACGCACGCGCTTCGCGGAGTCGTAGTGGGGTAGACCGTCCTCTTAAGCTGCGAGCAGTAGTAGCAAATGAACGCGTCACTCAACGGCTTCCGCTTACGCTTCGTCTTCTTCGAAAGTTAACGGAACCAATGGATAACTCCGTCACGAAGGCTTATCTCGAATGGGGTGAGCCATTTCTCAACGCCGGTGTGCGTTCCAGTCATTTCGTAGACGACTGCACGGAGCCACTGTATACAATTCTCGCTCTTATTGCGAGAGCCAGAGAACGGCTTGATGCGATCCGATGATCGGAGCAAATTCCCTTCAAGCCTCGGTGTCGCGGCAGTGCCGTTCAGCGCTGCCATTCGTTCATCTGACGCATCAACTCGGCTTGAGGGTCTTCTTCTTCGAGTGTACGCACCAAAATGACATCGTCACTTGCTGAATCATGGCTGTCAGCCTGACGACGTCCGGCACCCCTTTTGGACGCTCGTGCGCCACCCCGGCGACCGAATGAACACTCGCCATCAGCGTACATACGTCGCATACGGCTCTCCGAACGTGGCGTAACCATGTGCGAGTCTTGAGAGTACTGTGAAGCCCCGGTAGTGCCAAAGGCACCACGGTCAGCTCCACGCTTGGTCGGAGGAGTAAGGTTGAGTCGTTGGGGTGTCTGCGGCAGCGGAATCGTGGACGGGTCTTCATCAAGAACCGTCGGTCGGCTCACAGGTGGCTTCCCAGCGTTAATGCGAACAGCTCTAAAGACCTTCCGAAACCTTTTCTTCTATTTCTGGTGAGAGGCTCCGGCCTCATGAGGACGTCAATTTTGAAGCAACTTGGCTAGTCGTAATCGAGCTTACCGGATACTGGAGCTCTTGTGCAAGATCGGGTCTGTCGGCTTGTCTCTTGAGAATGGGCTTAAACAGTTGCATCCACGCATCAGTCTATATCAGACCCTGCACGCGGTCAAAACCGCGTTTGGTGGCTTGTGTATCACCGCTGATAGATGGGCGAGGTGCGCTCAGCAGCGCTGATCGCTTTGCGCCCGCCACCGAGGGTTAGAGGTCCCATCATAATAGTCTTCATAGTCCGGATCTGGTCCCGCAGGATCCTGCTCGTCGGCAATGTTCCTCGAAAAGGGACCTGGTCGCCCTGCGACCACCAGAGCCGGGCGCGACAACATGGTTCTTGTCTTTGTAATCGTCATAAATCATGGGCGTCAGGATCGACGGCCGCCTTGTCTTGAAAGCTAACGGAAAGCTATGTGGCAGATGCAAGGCGTACAGCCGTCATGCCCGGACTCGAACTCTCGTTGCGTGCTTCGCCAGACTTGGCAGGAGTAGGTGGTACCGTCGATTGTCCTTTCGCCATTTTTTGGTTTCCTTGTTCTTCTTCTCTTGGTAGCTCGTAAACGGGAAGGCCGAAAAAAACAGTTCACAATGGTCACACTCTGTTCTCAGGTCGCGGCACCAGCTGTTGTTTTGGAAATCCCACGTGAGCTTTAGCTACAAATGTAGTTTGGAAGCTCCCACAACAATACGTCTGCTAAGATAGTAAACGATCGTTCGGGCGGACATGAAGACCCCCGTTCTGCCCTTGCACCGGGACAGACTGGACCTTGTAAACTACTTACATAGGCCAACCAGTAAATTTAAGAGCACGCTACTAGCACGAGCAAATCCAGCAGGTGTTTTGAATCCTCGTGGTCCCAACAGCGGAAGGGGACCAAACACGGCACCGAGCGGTCGGAAGAATAAAAGGGATGCAATACAAGCACTTCCAGTCGTGCAAATAGGCAACAATAAGCCGTCACGTAAAACCCCCCGATAGTAATCGGCCAATACACACACAGTCTCTTGGCCTTGCCGGGCAAACCTCGCTACAGAGCTTCGAGTTCACCGACAGGCATAACACACTCAAACAAGCTTGACCAGACGCTTACCTTGCGGACGTCGCTCTGTGTGCTTGAGTGGAAATTCGGTTCTGTATTTATGTCTGTTCTATCGGGCCTACTAATGAAAATCCAAATTAAGTTTACATATATCAAGTGAGCTATATTCCGTTATGGATCTTCTTGTACGTCAAGCGTCGTCTGCAGCGTCGCATGCGCCTCTTCAACAGCTCGTGCTCTTTCCCAGACGGTGACCGTGCCTTAAAAGTGTCGCGTAGTCCTCCGCGAACTCATTCCAACCGCCACCGAGGGTTCGTACCGTAGATGGTCAGATCTTGGCTGCTGAATGCGAATCCGGTCAGTCCCTTATTAATAATAAGGACAGCCTGGATTGAGTGACATCTGGACCGTATCCGGTATCCGCTGAGTGTTCGGAAGTGACACTGTCGAGTCTCTTGCACCTTGTAGTCACAGTACATCACGTGGCCAAGTGTTCGTCGCTTGAGCATCTTGACAGTGCCGCATCTTTGTTGACGGATGATTATCGTCAACGCTGGAGAAAGCACTACGCCACAGTAGTCTCCTGCTGCCCCAGGCTCTTTGTTTTAGGAGCACTTCCAACCGAACGCAGGGTCCGACCGACGCAGCTCCGGACCAGTGTATTGAGGTGTAAAACCCACTCGGACTTCTTTGCGGGGTAGGCTCCATCTTCGTCCTATTGTCGACTGCCAAAGTAGTAGTCGTGTGTCGTGGCTCCATAGCCGTACTTATCCACGTAAGACTGTCCTTGGCACCACCACCGCAACCCGGCGGATCTCCCCCATACGTGGCAAGGACGCACATGCCTTCACCATACTCCTTCTTGATGTCGGGCTTCGTCTTGACGTTCGTCTTGAAAGTCGCCTTACTCCACACAGGCTCTGCAGCCGTCTCCTCAGCAGCGTCCTTAGATTCTTACATCCAGACGGCCAGAAGCTTTCACATTACCTCGGACTGCCCCGCTCTCCCAAACGTACCAAAGGCAGACTGTCCCTGCCCTATAATCGTGTCTTCTATGTCTGCACCCGCTTGTCTTACCTCAGCGCACTCCCTCGCGGCCTTCTCCAGACAATCAATCTCGACGTGAACCACTTCCGCTCGCTTTTCCGCGAGTAGCCAGTCATACAGCCTCTCGGTCTGTTCAGAGGTCGGTCCCTCTTCTCTTTCTCCGTCGCCACTATCACCTTCGTAGCGTCCTTCTTCTGTTTCACTTCCCTCTTCTCCGTAGAAATCCATCTCCGATTGCCAATCGAATCACCAACTACCGTTTCAGTTCTCCACGAACCCTTGACCAAATCGACAACCGTACAAAATATACCGAGCCCACGACGGTTCCCCAACAATGACAGTATGCTCTCCGCTTCAGTGCTTCCTCTACAAACACTAATCCACAAGTCACGTCCTTCGAGATGGAAGATTGCTACAACAATCGGCGCCCTCGGGAACCCACCCTTCCGCTTAAACTTCCCTTATTCGTGGGCTTGGCTCCCGGCGTGACAGCAAAGTCTCCCAGCCGTATCGACTCTTCAGAGCGTTCCTCGAGCTTAGCGGTCTCACTACGAAGCGGTACCCTGCTTCTCCACCACGTGTCGCGAGTCGTCCCTGTTTGGGCAGGACTGCAGCGAAGTGTAATCAGACGCCTTGGCGCGATGCTTAGTAGTCGGTAGTAATAGTAGTTAACAAGCCAAAATCTAATAAAAAGACTCAGCTTGTTATGTACCGGTCAAATTCACGACTGATCCTTTCCACTAACCTTACCCTCCTTACCGACCTTTGCAGTATTACCAGCATCCGCGGCACGACCGCCTTCGACATAGTCCCGACACCCCTACTCACCTTAGACAACTCAGCACTGTACTGCGCCCCGACGTGGCATTCTTCCCGCCCGTCGTCGTCGTTCCACTGGGTATCAGGTCCTTGGCTTCGATATCACAGCTTAGGAGAGCACGTTGGGGGGCTGCTCCCAAATCAATACAAGCACTCAGTATAGCCCTCGTGCTCAGTCGCTCCAGCCCGCGACTGCTCTCAGAGCCCATCACCTTTTAGTGGCGTCTCTCGTACCTCGTCGAGCAAGGAAGACGGATCACACCGTACTCACGAGGGTCACCATTGTTCCTACTCGTGGCAAAAGCATCCAATCGTATTTGGTCGTTTTCACGACCGAATTTGATTTAAAACTAGTAAAGTCACACCGATGGTTCGAACGGAGATTTCGTCTAATACTCAACTTACTAATATTTTACACAACCGACGGCCTGACATATCATGTTAGGAGCCGTCGGTTGAA